AATAAAAGCTTAGGCTTTTTTCTGTTCCTTGAGATGAGCCACGCATCCCACCTACATTCAGTACAGTAGTGGCATTTTCTGCGCGATTGGGCTTACACAAAGAGAAGTTTGTTCCTAACTGACAAAACACTGAGCCATGGACTGCTTGGTTGGCCTGAACTTCGGCCGATCAAGGCCTTGATCCGCGGAACATGCGCATAGTAGGCAGCGCCTCTTGCCACTATACCACACCAGTCCAGGAGAAAGTTGTGCCAAACCCTTCTTTTCATGGAAAACACTGTGTCCAAGTTACAGCAAGTAGCCAGTGTGGAAGGTGAAAAGATAATAGCGAGTGAATCACACAGAGTTCTTTTACTGAAAAGGGGAGAGCAAGGAATTAGTATAATTGGAACCATTTCACGCCCCCCCCCATGCCTGATCCCTATTCAGAACACGGTAAAAACACTTAATGGTCGTCGCAAAACAAGTATGACGTCAATCGCAAAGGGTCACCCCACATCAAGAATGGAAAACAACCTTAGAAGTGTATCAGCGTTTTCCTAATTCTTTTTACGATAACTCGTTGCCTCCTTTTGTACAATAGTATCAAAATAAATAAATAAATAAAGTGGTCTTGCAAAATGTGTGAGTACGACTTTAGATGTCGTACCGAAAACAGTAAGAAAACGGCTAGTATAACTCACTTCCGTTCGACTCCTACTCAGAAGATGGACATTTTCATTGGCATAAGGCGTGCCTTTCGGTTCAACACTCATGTTGGAGAGGAGAGATAATCTAAAAAGAGGATAAATTGACAATTGCAACAGAAAGCGCAAGGTCGGAAACATGAAACGAAAGACGAGGAGGCAAATGAAGACGCGAATCATATGACCCTTTCTATCTCGTGATGTCGCTCCCCATGCGCCCAGGTGTGTTTTACGACATCATACCGACAAACATGATATGAAAACAGAAAAAAAAGAACGGGTTCAAAGATGAAAGATGAGAGATTTGTGTTGAGAGAAAACGGAGATTTGCAGGATAGTTAGAAAGGCACATTTTGTTGAAGAACAAATGTGAATACAGCAGGGCACAGGGAAGAGCAAACAAAGGGAACCATTCCAACGGACCATGTCAATCAATACAAGGTGAGTCTTATGTGCTAAAGTTCAATGTAAACACCGAAAGTCTTCAAATATCACCTCAGAAATAACTGATTTGTCAAAAACGATTAAAAACGCAAAATTGCATGATATTTATCAAACAATCATTTAACATGATTTGAATAATACCGCACAAATCTCTTGTTCGATAAAAATAAATAAATAAATAAATAAATAAATAAATATAATAGAATAACAAGGAAACAGCACAAATAAAAACCCTGAGCACAGATTTCGAATCACTACATGGACACCAAACGATAGAAAACAAACAAGCTATCAGTAATCATGATCTCTTCAATTGATGAGCTTCTCTCGACCATTCTCACGCATTACTGACCAATAATATTTTACGAAGGAAATACAATACCATGCGTTCCAAGTCATAGGACGGCCAGCCAAAAAAAGAAGGTGATCCTGGACTTAAATAAAGACCATGGTTTCAAGCCATCACTAGACAATGGAAAATGTTAGATATGCTAATACCACAAGGATTTGTCATTAGAAATGACCATTATGTACAGAAAAAGAAAATAACTAATACCACATAAAATGAAAACCAATGCCGTATTGATCCGAACGATATAGTTAGATATTGTCTATTGACAAATAGTAAAGTAAGCATCAAGTATTAGAGGAATATAAGAACCATTGGAAGAGCTACAAATAACAGCTGAACGTAAATCGATCGAAATGACGGGGAGAACGGGGGAGAGATAGCGGAGAGGACGCAGCCATGACTCATGCAGCCGACGACCCAAACCCGCCTCTTCGAGGTTTTATAACTCATAAGACGGTCCGGAAGTGATAGAGTTGAGCACTCGCCTGAGTGATGTCACCTCCGTTTGGCACCTGAGAAAATCTCACTGAATTGCTCATTCAATGTTTTAGTTGCCAACAAGGGCAGACGAAGATAAGGGAAACAGGGGGAGATTCACTTTTACAGTTTGCTGGTCCCGTGGCGTCGACAAGTGATCCAACTACAGGGTGTCGTCCCAAAACTACAATACACTTCCATCATAACCAGAATTAGTCATATCAAGATGAAGCTATACGAAATACCTTAGAATTGTTCTGTCCCGAAGTCTCATGTCGATCTAAATGTGTATTAAACAATGTGAGACTTCAAAATTTTATTGCAAAAGACTCAAAACTTTCTACAAAAGAAATTGCAAAAATGTGTGTTTGCAAAAGTTTTGCAAAAGTTTAGGCCTTTTTGGCGAGCTTTCGGCGCTTAGCGCCTTTGTCGAGCCTGAATGAACTTCGTTAAAATTTTCATTTCAGGCTCGACAAAGGCGCTAAGCGCCGAAAGCTCGCCAAAAAAGGCCTAAACTTTTGCAAAACTTTTGCAAACACACATTTTTGCAATTTCTTTTGTAGAAAGTTTTGAGTCTTTTGCAATAAAATTTTGAAGTCTCACATTGTTTAATACACATTTAGAAATATCCGACTAAACACGCTAGTTTTCAGGCAATCAACCAAGCTATACTTTCCGTTACTCTAATCTGGGCCAGCTCTCCGTTTTTGTGCTTCGCGACGCAAAACCGATAAGTCAGCGAGCTGTTTGCTTTGGAATCCAATTGAAGCCAGTGACATTGACTGTGCGTTGGAATCGCAATACAATCCAAGTTTGCTAATAGTCATAAAAAAAACATTGAACTCCACAAGGAGTGTTTACCTGAGAGTTCAGTACCCCAATCTCTTCAAAATTTCCTTCCGTGTCCCATTTCTTTCGCATAATTCCAAAACACGCCGTTCCACAGCGAATACATGTTCGTCAGGACAGTGAGGTGCCTGGAATTGATTTAAATCAAATTTTGACAGCGGATTTCATAACAACAACACTTTCTGAGACACAGGAAATGACATGCCCTTCTGCAGAAGGACAAGTAATCTCAAATGTTCTACCATGTGATATATGTATAAACATCGCCGATGATTGCTTTTATCCCATATTTCGGATGGGGACAGAGACTCATTGTAAATGTTTCAGGGTTACTTATTTTGTTGACTACATACCACTCCCCTCTACAGACCTCTTCGGCACAGGCATAGCTAAATTATGATTTGTTCCCGTCCCAACCAAAAGCCGGAAAGGAGTTTAGAATCAGTGACAAAAGACAAAATTGTGAAAGTCACTCAAATGTATAGCATAAAAGGATAAGGATGAAAGGATAAATAACAGGATAAAGCATCCAATCCTTTTGGGATGCGGCACGCATTCTACTTCCATTTGTACATTCGTAGTGGCGTTTGAATGCGATGTGGCCTATACAATGACTTGCGGGGGCCAGCCGATGTACAAGTCAGTGTTTTTATCCTCCCAGACAAGTCTGGTACCAATTACCGACCCCGGAGGGATGGAAGGCTTGGTGGCGTAGATGGTGTAAAAGGATAAAGGATAAATAGCACGGCGGCCCCGGCTTTTATCAGCCCCTTTTGAAATGCGCCATGTGTTCTACTTTTACGTCCTCCCAGACAAGTCTGGTACCAATTAACCGACCCCGGAGGGATGGAAAGGCTTGGTTGGCCCGGGCGACTCACGACCCAGGATTTGATCCCCGGACCGCTCGCGTGGTAAGCGCGCCACTTGTCACTACACCACTTCCGCCCAAGTCACCAGATCAAT